GTTTGGCTAACAATAAATTTACGGATAATATAAGCAATTATTGAAATCTATAAACCAAATCATAATCCGTACGCAGCATGAATTCTACTTTTAATAGTATGTTAACTAGCTCATCCAAAGACAAAAATATCAAAATATGAATTGACAAATTTAACTTGTTGATTTGTTGTAGGAGATAATTACTAATGTTGAAAGAATTACTGCGATATGAGAATTTTAATTTGACCCACGATAAAAATAGAGTGTTTGCTTTTCGATTTTTTGTTTTTCTCAATAATATTTATCATCAATATGAATGTTCATGTTGCCAGTGCAGAGAGCAAAGCCCCATTATTATCGTCCTGCCTAGCCAATAAACTATAACGTGGTAAACTTACGTTGCCGGCTATTAATATCGCCAGTGCCATTGTAGCTGAGCAAATTTGCAGCATATTTTATCATGACGAATTTACTGTTGTTTATATCTAATGTTTATATTATCCTGTTAAGTTAACTTTTTTTTGATTGATCAATTTTTTGTTTAAAAAATAATAATTTATTATCATCTCTATCGCCAATAATTATTGTTTGATCACGTTATATAGCCAAACCAGAACCATCTTTTAATTCCTTACTACGAAAATAAGTAATTTCATCTTCACATTGTTCTTCAGCATTATTATTATTTTCAATAGCTGTTCGATGAACACATCTTGCATCTTGATCACTATAACCTACTGTTAACCAATTTCCATTATCAAATCACTGGGCTCGCCAGTGAGCTTGCCAGTGCGGTTTACAGCTGGGCTTCCCACTGCGGCTGCAGCGGAGCTTGTCATTGAGCTTGCCACTGCGGCTTGCAGCTGAGGTTGTCACTGGGCCCGCCAGTAAGCTTTCCACTGCGGTTGCAGCTGAGCTTGTCATTGAGCTTGCCACTGCGGCTGCAGCCGAGCTTGTCACTGGGCCCGCCAGTAAGCTTGCCACTGCGGCTGCAGCTGAGCTTGTCATTGAGCTTGCCACTACGGCTGCAACGGAGCTTGATTATACGATATAATTGCGCTTTTTGGTTTTATCACGTTTAGATGCTTAGATTTCTCGCTTAACCTTCTGCAGCGGAGCTTGCCAGTGAGATTGTCACTGGGCTTTCCACTGCGGCTGCAGCTGAGCTTGTCACTGGGCTCGTCAGTGAGCTTGCCATTGCGGTTGCAGCTGAGCTTGCCAGTGCGGTTTGCAGCTGAGCTTGTCATGGAGCTTGCCAGTGCGGTTTGCAGCTGAGCTTGTCATGGAGCTTGCCAGTGCGGCTGCAGCGGTAGTTAAACATGGTTTTGTATATAAAATATTTATGTTTAGAAATGTTGATGTAATGAATTTAATTGTGCGCGTATACACACACACCCACACACGCATAAATATCAATTATGACTAATAGAATATTTTGTATCAATAAAAAGGAGTAGAGAAAAAATAACTTTTAACCTAGTATTAATATCTTAGAATACAGTGGATAGTAGTATGTTAACAAGCTCATCCAAAGACAAAAATATCAAAATATGAATTGGCAAATTTAACTTGTTGATTTGTTGTAGGAGACAATTACTAATGTTGAAAGAATTACTGCGATATGAGAATCTTAATTTGACCCACGATAAAAATAGACTGTTTGCTTTTCGATTTTTTGTTTTTCTCAATAATATTTATCATCAATATGAATGTTCAAGTAATCAGTTTTATTTATCTATGTGTGTATAATGTTTTTGACAGTGATATTTTGAATAGATGCCACATGTTCAAGTCTCAGTTATGCGACTTCTGTCTTAGATTAGTGGACTATTTTACGATGTTGGAGTCTCTTACAAAAACAATAATAAGAACTGATATAAGGATTGTTTAAATAATTGTCATCCTGAATTTTTCGATTAATATGTAATGCATGAAAAAATTTGATTATTGTTTCTTGTAGAAGATTTCAAATTAATTATCACTGTGTGTTTTCTGAGCACGTAGTTATTATTATCTAAATAAAAACTTTGAGTTCTTTTTGAGTAAAGTTAGAATTAGTTGTTAGCTAGTTCAGTACGCTACCACTAAACTATGAGATACAGTCTGATTCATATTAATCTTCCTTTATATTCGATTGTTCGTTGTACAAACACTTTTATGTATACATTACAAACAAAATTAGAATTTACCTAGGCAAAAGTAGAATCGAAATGTCTGCATGATACATTTCTTCTTTTCCTAATTTCTAATTAGTAAGAGGATAGAGATGGCGGGGGATCGAAATTGGGAATAAGTCAGACAAATCTAAAACTTCTATAGTTGAAATACTGTCAACTAGTTCACTCCTACTTTCAAACCTCCTCCGCCTGCGTCCTCTTACTAATTAGAAATTAGGAAAAAGAAAAGATGATGTATATCTCAGTTACATGTATCATACGGACATCTTTTTAGATATCTCAATTTTCAGGATGTCAGATGTTACTATTTGTCAAAACAAAATTAGAATAAAAATAAACAAACATTTCGATTCTATACGTGCCTAGACAAATTCTAAATTTGCCTATGGCATATGTTCTATAAAACACATTTGGTATCACCAATCTGCAAAGAGTTTAGTAACAAAAGTTGTTATCAAATAATGTGAACAGTAAAGACTAGAGTATAATATATTATTAAAACAGCAGGTTAAGAAAACGTTCATTCATATTATTCCATATAGTTTCATTGTCACGCATGTTTTTAGTTCTTTGATTAATTATGACAATTTTCTGAAATGAGAATTCAATCATTTTTTTGTTTACGATCAATTAATTATAGCTTAATTATAGTCTATTATTTTGACTTGCATGTAATGTCTCGATTTATTTACAATAAATAAATGGACCGACAATGCTAGTTAATAATATCTTGCGTATACCCAATGAAAGAAAAAATTCCTATAATTGTTGAAAATAGTCTACCGAAATTTTTTCTAACTGTTAAACTAAATTTATATCGTAGATAAAAGAAAATGTAAAAAAAGAATTTTTTCTCTCATTATATAAATCTAAAAGGATTGATGCCTAACTTCAGTATAAACGCATCTCGGAACCATATAAAATGGAGTATTGAGAATATTCGCTAAAAACGTGTTTTCCTATTCTGTGAATGACTAATAGATACTGAAAACGAAGAATAAAGTGTCGGTGTTTATAAGCGGAAACTATAGTTTGAATAGAAATTGTTACTAATGTATTCTATATTTTCATCATAATAATTCGTTTGTTTCACGAAATTATTTTGTTTAATTGAGAATTTATTTTTTTCCTTCTTTAAGGGCGGGGGGGGGGGGGGGGGGGGGGGGGGGGGGGGGGGGGGGGGGGGGGGGGGGGGGGGGGGGGGGGGGGGGGGGGGGGGGGGGGGGGGGGGGGGGGGGGGGGGGGGGGGGGGGGGGGGGGGGNTTGGGGTTTTTTTTAAATATTTATTGTTTTTTTTCCGAAAATATTTTTTTTTTATTTAAAATTTTTTTTTTATGTTTTTATTGGCCCCCCCCCCCCCCCCCCCCCCCAGCGGAATTCGATGTTTTCTTCGAAACTGAAGTAACCCTGCGGTTCAGTATCCTAAAGTGTCATCTTTCAGAATCCGTCTCAGTTTGCCAAAGATGCAATGTTTTTGGAGGTTTTTGAGAAAGATTTCTGAAAGCCCTGAAAATCACCCTTTTCTATATTTCACGTTTTAATTAAATTTTTTTAGGTTGTCTGTTTTAACAGATATGGAGCTTTGTTGAGAAGAGTGTTCTGATCAGAATGAGATGTCCAGCAGATTTGTATGACTTCGTCTTGCAGAGTTATACTAGTTTTGCTAAAGGCGCCGAACTATAATTACTTCAAGTTAACTTATAGCCATGTGGATAGAGGTCTGCGGGACGGTCCCGGTCCTGATCCCGCGGGACCTTTTACGGGACCGGAACCAAACTTCATGGGACCGGGACCTAAGATCTGCGGGATGTTCCCGGTCCCAGGGAGCTTTTAATGGGATCGAGACCAGATTTTTCTTCAAAAAGAGAAACTAGCCTTGTACAGAGTATAAAAATTTCCTAGCTTCGGCGCTTCTTTGTATGCAGGCACTAGTTCTGCGAAAAAAAACTCGCACAGAATTCTAAAATTTCTCAATTAATACCACCAACGCATGCTGTCGCTCGCCAGCAGAATTAGAAGTAGAAAGTAGAATAGAGCACTAGCAAATAAGGATATATCTCTTTTTACACATGCATATCTTTCTGTTCTCTTTCGTTTCAATCGGCGCGCTGAGACGAAAAAATATCTCCACACGGGATATCTTATGTGAAAAGAGATATCTCCTTATTTGCTAGTGCTCTATTAATCAAAAGG